GAAATATAACATAATCGATATTTGTCCCATGACAAACACATATAGATGCCGTTTTATAAAAGTTTAGTTTTCTTAAATTATACGATACACACAGTCACTAGAGGTCTCATGAGACTGGCTGGCCCGAAGGAAGTCGGTCCAGCCTATGTTTTTTTTTAAAAACAGTCCACCTATCGGCCATTCATCTAATTGCATTAAAGAAATTTTTAACACCTGAATGAACAAGTATATTTTGAGTACTAGCAGCTTATGTATAAACAAATATTCAGTAAAACATTTCACAGGTTGAAAAATCTTCAATTCTCTCAAATTCACTATTGTTCTCTGGACTTTTAGTTAAAAAACCAAAAACCTTTCAACGTAAAGATGTGTATGCTTTTTCATTTTTAATAAGAGAATATGTCGATGGTTGTTGTTTCAAGAGAAATTTGATCCGTTCAGATTTTGTATTGTTTTGTATGTAAATGAACAAGGAGATTTAGGCAGGGATATTTTCTTCAATATAAAGGAAGTTTTTTTCAGCTGACGATAGTTTGTTTTATATATTTGCTGTTCATTGTAGAAATGTTTTAGCCGATGGAAGAATTACATAGGATTTTCGAAAAAAATTTAGTGGAAATATGTAACATCCGTTGAAAGTTTTATATTTTATTCAATATTCAGCCCATGGGGCGCTCATCGCAATATTGAATCAATCTATATCTGTTGGGCCAGGTTAGTAGTGATTGTATTGCTTACGCTTCTTAGCTTTCTGCTCGGAATAATGCTACATGCATTTTGTTTCACTACATCTGCTCGACTTCTTTCTAATGACAGTTCTAAATGATAAATATATTGACATTTAAGAGATCTGATTCAACACTTTTTGTTTTGTGTAAATTATGGGTCACTAATTTGACATTCTCCTTGGTGTATTTCAGTTCTAGACCTTCAGGTCTAGTCTGAGATCAGAAAGGATTAAGTCAGCTACGTAATATAAGTAAAATAATTTGTTGCTCATTTTGATGGGATGTAATTGATTGAGCTTCATATAAAGATTTTTACAAGAAAACTTTTTTCTTTCTGCATCGAGCCAATGTCATATTTTAAAACATGCTGCAAATCGAGCAGAGTTCGTTCGATTGCATATTATATCATAATCAAGTAATAATTTAGCTAAAAATAGTTTCATATTCAATAAGATTATGTTTTATTTTTGTTGATCATAGGTTAAACTAGAATCTTTTCGATGATGTTTTTATAGTAATTTTAAGTTCAAGTAAATGTGTATGATTAATTGTTTTAAGATCTTTAAGATGACTTGTTTTTACTTTCTTTCTCAAAAAACAAATCCTAGAAGAGCATCTATCATTTTTTTAATGGACTCTTGGATGAATAATATTTATTTCTATCAGACAATAAATTATATAGTTTTCTTTTCTGGCAAAGAAAGCCTAGAATTATTGGTAAATATAGTAAAAAACACTTTATAACATTTTACTCTAGAATCTATAAAATAATTCTTGTATACCATAAGAAATAAAAGATTATTTTTATATGTTGCATCTTCGGGAATATGGATTAGTTTATTGGCTATTAATAGAGATATTTGATCGAAATAGACATTGAATTAACCTGTTGAAGCATAGTTTACATTAGTATAAATATAAGTTTTTATTTCTTTTTTCATTAAGAATAATAACACGATGTATTATACATTTAAGTATGTCCGAGCACAAATGGTGACAGAATTCTGACAAGCAGAAAAATAATAATAATTCTATTATAAATTCTGTTAGAATTTTAATTTCTCAACAGAACTGTCATTCATTACATATACTTATTCCTGTATTCAAATTAAAACAGCTAAGTTACTTAGAGTTTTGTTTTTTTCAGATGAATTGTGTCAGAATTCTAATTTTCTAGTTTTCATGAATGTTTTTAAACAATTACAAATATGTTCATTAAGTGTGAAATTTCTTAATAAAATTTTAATAAATAAATATTTTATTAAAGCAATGGAAGAACTAAATCAACACATTCGATATATATCTCAAATAAAATATTCAATCAATAATTAATTTATCATGTACTTGATTATTTAAAAATAATAAGTAAATGTTCAAATATGCAAACATAGCTTTCATAAACAATATTTGCATCAAATATATGAAAAAATTTACTTGACGTAGTTAATACAGAATTCACACAGAATTGCATCTATAAATTCTGTCTGAAACAGCAATATTCATGTGAGAAATTTTCTTTGAAATAAAATAATAATCTTTACATGAAATACAAAGTTCTACAAGCAATAGATCCTCAGAAATGAATATTCACAGCAGAATTCTCTTTCAAATATAATAATCGTTATATATAATGAAGTACAACTTTGTTATGAAATCAGAACTCGATTTGGATACATAGTAGTGTCCTGCAGCCAGATCGGATACACGACACTCGGTCGGACCCGGAACAAAGGCTTGGATGTAAACTCGCCGAGTTGGAGCCAGCTTTGAAATCATACCCGACAATATATGAGATCTCAATATTTCAAAATATTTTTACTTTTTCAAACTACTATTTATATAAACGTATAGGAATAGAAACCATTTCAATCATGATCGAATAACTTATTGTACTTGAGAATAGGTCATAAAAGTAGAAAGCAATATTGTTTTAGAAAGAGGATTCATTTTTAATGAGAATTCGACTACAGATGATGAAAAATCATGTGACGAAATAATTGAACACATGACTAGGAAAATAAATCATTGAAAAGGTGAACATGTATTATGGTGGCAGAGAAAACATTCCAGCGTTGCCAGCAGTAGGAAAACGTATATTTAGCGAAATCGATCAGATTTTAGAGGCAGAAAGACCTTAAATAAATCCTGATTTACTTGCTTTTTTTGTTGAATTTGAGATGATCTCTTTTTTTATTGCTATTGATGGAAGAAACTAAATAGTATACTTTATCATATAAAATAAAAGTTCGAAAACTACTATGATTATGAAAGTATCTGCCGAATGTCAATTAGTTCCGGATCGCATTCGGTCGAATACCGGGTACACCCGAGTCGGATTCAGTTCAGGTACGAAAAATTGTATCCGTGCAGGACACTAATTCAGACATCTTCGATGGCAAAGAGAATTCTTTCATCTTGAGCAGAATAGCTTTTACTATTTTATTTCAGTTGATTATTTCAGGTGTGTTCATTCGTATGATTTTCATGAGTTCAGTGTATAAGGTGCTTTAAATGTGCACATAACTCATGCAACCATTCAAATGTTTGTCTATGGAAAGAGAGTCGTGTGATATAGACACATCTTGAAGTCTGTACATGTTAAGCACATGAAAAAATTTCGACTAGGGATATACAAAGAATAACAATTCTTCCGGAATAATAAAATCCTAAGCAGAATCTTGATTTAGATGCATAGATAAGGATTTTCAATACATCATCACTATAAATGAACATATTGAGAAAACTAATTATATATTCGGATGGCGTGTGGAGTTCTCTACAATCCTATATATGTTCGATTTAAATTGCATTTGTTTATTAAAAATAAATTAAAGAATAATGAAGGCACCCTCACCGTCAGATTTCCCGGTTATGTTCAATTCTTTTTTTCCCTTTTTGTTTATCAGATAAGTGGCAAGTCAAGACTGACAAAAATATAAGGTGATAGAGTATTGCACGCGCTTTCAGAATATACACTTACTTTTTTTATAACTCGTTCCTATGTTGAAAATAAATTTGAAAAAATGAAGAAAACAGGATAAAAAATTGAACGAAAAAAATACATATCCTGGGAGTCTTAAGATGAGGGTGCCTTCATTGTTCTTTAATTTATTTTTAATAAACAAATGCAATTTAAATCGAACATATATAGAATTGTAGAAAACTCCACGCACTATCCGAATATATAATTAGTTTTCTCAATATGTTCATTGATAGTGATGATATATTGAAAATATCGAGTGACACTATTTTTTTCCAGGGGATATATGCACCACACAATCATACTATGGCAATTGAATCAATTAGCAAAATTCTTAAATTCTGCTTGTGATGAATTTCCCCACTGCTGATTTCGAGTCAAGTCAAGTCAAGTCTGACTGGACTTGACTTGTTCATCTCTGGCTATGTCAGATCAACTATCAACGTGTGTCAAGAGCATGTCAGTTTATTGACCTCGTTCTATATAAATCTTTCTACTAATAATAATCGTCCAACGGTATCATCCAAACAACAATTCATTATGAGAAATCAAGTTTTGTTACCAATGCAATTCATTTATGAAACATATTTCTTGAGTAAATTAATAGAATTATCTTAAAAACAATTATTTGATTTAACCTTTCTTAGAAAATTACTCATGATGAACATTTTTCTATTGATTGAATTTCAATATCATTTTAATAAATTAAGAGAAAAATGATTAAATCAAATTATATATATATATATATATTGATTATTCAAGAATAATACATTAATATTTGAATATCATATCTCGATATTAATATTCATTGTATTGAAATCTCATAGCATTCATTATTACTTATCATTTCAAATTGACAAAATGATCTTTCTTTTGCTTTATACAAATACGACAATCACATATACATAGACAACAGACGACGACAGAAACAAAAAAAAAACTTTTTTTTCTTGCAAAATATGCGAATACAAACAAGAATATTTTTCCAGCACTTTTCTGTGTGTGTGTGTGTGTGTTTTTTTTTTCTCCATGCAAAGATTCATATCCACACATAAAAAAGAGAAGTTGAATAAAAGAAAAGAAATGAACAAACAAATTGCTTGTCAATGTCTGTATATATATATATGAGTGTGTGTGTGTTACTCTTCAGCAACGAAAAAAAAAAGTCTATCCAGATTTGAATGGATCGAGCAAATATGATGAAAAGAAAAGAAGACATTTTTTTGTAGCATGAATAGGAAAAAGAAAAAGACAAGAAAATGATCGCAATTAATATATTCAAAAAGAAAAAGTTAGATTTGGGCAAGAAGTCGTTCGACTGCAGCATTTACATCGCCCATTGTTGCCGTAAGTGCTTAAAAATAAAAAATAAATTCAAAAACAAAAAACCAATAAATAATCAATTAATTACCTTGTAAATTTGCTTCACGATTAGTAAAACCCATTGAAACTAGTTGTTCTAATTGAACAGCATAACGTTGATCTGGTGGTGTATTCTATACAATAAAAATAAATAGAATAAAAAAAAAAACTTTTTTTTTTTCATTAAAAAATAATAACATACAATATTTTGATTTGACATCATATTCAACATTTGAGCAAATACACCTGCATAATTGCTTGAATCAGTTGATGATGTATCACCAGTAGGTCTTGTTGATGATGGAGCCTGACCAGTTGATGTTGAAGATGTAGATGAAGATGAAGCATTATTTGTTGAACTACTAGTAGCAGCTGGTGAAGCTAAACCAGTTGGACCAAAGCGAAGACCAGCAGGTAAACCGCCACTAAATTAATAGAAAGAAAAAAACAATTTTGTTTTTATCAAAATATTTTATTAATAAACTTACGCTTGGAAAAGATTTGGTGCTGCTGCATGTAAACGTTGAAGTCCTATATAATAAAAGTTATGAATTTTGTTTTTTTTTTTATTTAAAAATTCTAACCTTCTTGAACTTGTGTGATAGCTTCAAGTGCTTCACGATTTTGCATTAATGCTTGTACTTCAGGATTTCTCATTTGTTCCATCATAGCTGGTAAAGCATTTATCATTTGTTCACGTAATTCAGGATTATTAGCAAACATTGGATTATTAGCAACCATTTGTCTTGATATATCTGGATTAGCAGCAAGTGAATCCATTAATGGTTGCATATATGGTGCATTAAGAACACTTTCAAGTAAACGAGGATTTTGAACTAATTGCGACATATAATTTTGCATCATTGGAGATATTAAACCGGGTGAACTACCAGCAGCACCAGTTGGAATTGCTGATGGTGTTTGTTGTTGTTGTTGTTGATTATTTGATGTACTGGTTGATTGTTGTTGTTGGCGATTAGTTGAAGTAGCTGTTGCTGCAGCAGTACCACGAGGTGCCCAGGGATTTGGTAATGGATCTGTATTTTCTGTACGTGGTGCAGATGTATTTTCTATGATGAAAATAATAGAAAAAAAAGAAATTATAAAAATATTTCGAAATACCTCCATTTCCACCAAATAATTGTGCAAATGGATTATTGCCAAATTGTTCTTGTGCTGCTGAATACATTGGTTCTTGCACATCATGATAAATACGTTGTAAAGCATTAAATCCACCTGGAATACTCTATTTAAGAGAATTTTTAACATACATGAAAAAAAAATATTTATGATGAAAAACAAATTTACTTCAAGATTGCTTAAAGCTCGATCATGATTACGCATAAGTTCTTGTAATGCTGTTGGATTACGAGCATATTCCATTGTTTGTCGAAGTAAATCAGGATTATTAAGTAAATGTGATATTTCAGGATTGCGCTTAAAAAAATATTAGATTTTTTTGTTTTCTATAAAAAGAAATTTTCAAATTGACAAATTAATTTACCTCCATTAAATCACGCATCTGTGGATTGCTAAGTAATAATGAACGTAATAAATCTGGATTACTTGTTATACTTTGTACCATAGGACTTTCCATTAACTGACGAAGTTGTGCTGGATTGCTCATTATCTATTGAATAACAAAATTTTATTTAATTTACAATGAATTTCGTTTTCGAAATCAGAGAACGGCACAGAACAGTCTTTTTTTTTAGGATGTAGGACATATAAGTCAAACTAATTGATCGTGATCCAATGAAATTTTAGTCTAATCGTAAAATTGAGTATGGATTTCTATTATTATTAATAGTAGTCGGAAGAATATATGCTATGCTTAATGATTAGTGTTTCCATGAAAAGATTATTCAACTCACTTGGATTGACATATTTATTCAAAGACAAACACATCTATCACCAAGTCAAATAAACAGTATTGTTTATTTGTTCTTATGACAAAATTCAAGAAAAAAGAAAATTTATCCTGTCTTGTTATATTGATTCCTGTATCTGTATGTTTGTTTTACTCATATTATGAATGTCAAGTATAGTTTTTTTTTATTTTTCATTTTATTTCTGCTAGAAAACTTATGATCAGTTTCATTAGCATGAATTTTGTATCAATAGAGGATTTATAATATTTGGCATCGTACTTCATATACAGACAAACTTAATATCCTTATCAACAAAAAAAAGCAATGCAAAGATCGTCCTGCAGATCGGATGAAAAAAAACACAACATTTTAAACATTTGAAATATGTTGTGTACTCTTTTTTTCTTTCTATAAATCAAGGGTAAATATTAAACTTATCCTTTATATAAATATATTTACTTGTTGTTGAAGTTGTTGTTGCATATCAAGAAAATTAGTATTAGCCAAATTTAAATTTCCCATTCCAGGTGTTAAACCAAGACCAAATGGAAAACCACCTGCATTTGGCTGTGCTGTATTCGGACGATTAGCAGATGCTTGTGTATCACTAGCTGTTGTTGTTGTTGCTGTTGCATTAGTAGATGTATTTGCTGCTGTTGAATCTGTTTTAGGTGCTCGAATAACCAAATGAAGTGTAACACCATCTTTTACATCTATTAATTACAAGAATAAAAACAAAAAACAACATAAACGAGATTTATGATTTAAGAAAATCATTTTTCATACCATGCTTTTTAAGATCTTCATCATCTTTAAGAATTTTACCCGAATATATAAGACATATTTGTTCAATTGATGCACTAAATTCATTAGCCACAATATCTTTTAACTAATAGAAAAAAAAAAAGAATTTTTTTTTTCGTAAAAAAATTTTGTTTTTCGAATTTACTTGTTTAACAGTAGAAGATTCATCAATTGTAATATCTTTTTTTTCTTTTGGTGTTTTTATTGTTAATTTTAAATTTGATGTTGTATTTTCAGTTGTAACTTCTTGTTCAGGAATTGGACTAGTTATAGGTGCTGTATCAGCAACATCAGTTACATTATCATTGCTTGTTGTACCTGTTCCAACATCCATTTGTTCATTGTTATTCTCACTCATTTTTTTTAAAACACGAGTCAAAAAAAAACAGAAAACTTGATTAAAATAATCCTAATGAGAATAATCTAGAATATAGAAAAAAAAATGGTGAGTCAAAATTTGTTCTTTGTAATTATTACTAATATAGATTTGTTTCGACTATTCACGAATGAAAAAAAAACACAAACTCAATCAACAATGATAGATGTCGTCATATGTTATGTATGACTATTTTTTTTATCATACAAAAAATAAAAGAATCATTATCACAGTAACATCAAGGATGTATTTTTATAAAAAAAAAATGAAGAATAACCGGTTTTTTTAAAATTAAATCAATCTTCATGGTCAGTTGTATAGGTATCAAGATTTTCTTCATTTGTAAAATTAAGAAAATGTGATGGATGATGAAATTAAATCATATTTCATATTAGCATTATGACGAGCACTCTCTACAAATAGAAGAAAAAGAACTTACATCATGAAAAATAAATAGAAGTTATAGTTTACTATAAAAATATAATTTCATAAACTTTGTCCTAGTATCATAATGTGATGAAGCATATTCTAAATAAAAATCATTTCAAAAATATATTTTATCGAGTCCATTTATAATCACTTTGTGTTAATTTATAAGCAACTAATGAAACTCAAATAAACAATTTCATGTGTACCTCTTTGTGGTGATAAGATAACATAACGAATTCCTTTTATTTGTAGATTATCTGATGGGCTAATACCCATATAAATAACCAGAAGTCTATAAAAAAAAACATAAAATAGAAATTTCAATTAAAATCTTACTTGTGTACGAAGGTCTGATATAATAATAAATTTTTTTTTGGTAATATGATGAATTTCTGTTATTGTTGTTATTCATAGGTTTTAAAATCATTATTAATATGTAATGCTTTAAGAATAAGAATAAAACGTGAAAATGTTGTATAAGAAGAAATTGTTTTTTTTTTAATCAATCATCATATAAATTAAACATAATCATTTGTGATTCATTAGCTTTTAAGATTAAATCACCAAATTTTTTTAACTTTAAGACAAACTTGAAATGATAATTGTAATTCACTACCTTTTGATAATTATATTTGGAAAATCTATGAAAGAGAAAAAAATGTTAATGGCGAGTGACAAGCATTTATTGAAAAGAACGCTCTTTTTTTTTGTTGAGGTATTAAATTTTTGAGTAAACTCGTTTTTTTGTATCATGCTTTTGGCAAACGATTATTTTTTGAAAATTTAATATCTCAATCAAAGAACATTATATTTTGCTGAAACTTTTAGGATATTCTACGGGTTGTTCAATGTATGAAATTTCAGGTCGAAAATTCAGTAAAACGATCCAAACTCGACTTTAAGTACCTATGAGGACCAATAATATTAATCCCACCAAAACATCCTTGTAAACTTAATAAGAACTCAAATATCGAGCATCAATTTGAGTGATTTCTTCGTTAGTAGGGTAGCATCATTTATTAGTTTTGTTGTTAAATTTCCTTCATATGTTTTATGTATTGTGTAATTCGATAAACATTTGTATTATCAATAAACCAAATAATTTGATTTGAAAATAATTCACCATAATTTTGTAATGATAAATATAGCTCAGATGAATATAATTGCAAACCTTTACGTATGCGTTCACGTAAAACATAAACAAGTAATAATGGTGATTCACTATCAGCTTGATACCATAAATATTGATATAAATAAGCATTAGTGATTTTTTTCTAATTGTTTAACATCATAAATCGATATTAAATAATTATATAAAAATCCATAAATTCAATTCCACATTGTTTAAATGTACGTCGTGTTAAAAGATGACGTTTAATACGTAACAAAGCTTCATGTGGATTTATCATATGTTTGTTTAATTAAACCTAGTTCTTCTCATTGTAATTGATTTAATTTTGATTTAACACTAGATGTTTCTTTTAAATGTTCTAATTCTAAAATAAGTAATTTTGTATCATGTTTATATATTAATGATGGAAATGTTATACATGGACCATCTTTAAGATAATTATATTGTCGTTCTTGTTCAGATTTTAAATAAAGATGGGTTAAACGATCTAATTTTTTTTTTACAAACTGTTTTATCAATTGTAGCACCACGTCTTATAATATGCTGTTGATGTCCACCAATCAACTTTGGCTTTAATATAACGTAATACCATATTTTTAATAGATGTAGGTAAACCAGGTATTTTTCATGGTATATTTGCTTTCCAACAACGTTATAATTCATTTAAATGTTGTTGTGAAATAATTCATGCTTTAATAATGGATACACGTAATTCTAAAATCATAATGTGATTCAACATGTTGTTTTGTAATTGTTTTAGGAATATCTTTTGAATGACATCCTTCAAATTATTGTGATAATAAATTATCTAACCAATACTCTAATAATGGTGTAATACCACGTAAAAAAAATAACTACACATGCCAACTTGGTGCCCAAAAATCACAACCAAGTCCTGTATTAAAACGATAATAAATTAAATATTTTAAATCTTTATGCAAACGTATTCGTTTCATTAATTTATATTTATAACAATAGATTCCAGTTAATTGCCCAATCCGTGTAAACCATCGGCTAATTGATATGTACAATGTTCTTCATACCATGTTTTAACTAATGGCATATCAATTGCATGTCATGTTCAACCAGAATGAATCCAGTTAATAATTGCTTACTCATACGTTAAAATGTCGAAAGAATTGGTAATGTTAATTGCCAACGACGATATGTTGAACCATTTATCATTCTTAAAATAAATCAATCATATTAAAATAAAACGAATAAATTTTCAATGCAAATCCATCCGAGCTGATTTTATTGGAATGAAGAAAATACATCAAGGGGGAAACAGCGGACTTCAAGACTTCAACCATAGTGACTTCATATTTTCACAAGACTTCATAGGACTTCAAATGGCTCCACAAGACTTCATAGGATTTCATGGGACTTTAGAGACCTTCAAAAGACTTCCAAAGATTTCATGAGACTTCACGGACTTTGTGAAACTTCACGGACTTCATGACACTTCATAGATTTTGTGAGACTTCACAGACTTTGTAGGACTTCTTGAGACTTTATAAGACTTCACAAGGCTTCGCCAGACTTCATAAAACTTCGTAGGACTTCACAAGACTCCACAAGGTTTCACAAGACTTCAAGAGGCAGATTCCATGCGTATCAAAAAACCTTATAGTAATTACATGAAACTTCTATAACATGCAAAAAACAAAACTTATCATATAGTGATTGGAAAAGTATTTCTTGTTTCTGAGAATTGTTTCTCGCAGTATATCTATATCTAGGATAAGGATGTGACAATGACACAAAGCGTTGATGAAATCAAAACTGAGAAAATAAACTTTACTGGGATGCTTATATTTGATTCGATTAATCCAGCATTGAAAAACTCCTATTTTCGGGTGCAAATAAATAACAAGACTAAATTTATACACAAGCGAACGGCTTGTTGGTTATTGACCGACAAAGCTAGCCATTTATCGTCTGATAGATTTCATGAGTGATAGAAACAAACAAAAAGGAATAAAGTTCTTCATAAGATTGACATTCAATGGATGGAACATTTCTTATGAAAATAAGCCACTTCATTCAAAAAGCATTCAGTTATTAACTATCATGTTTTATAAGATCCAATAAACTTGAATTTTTTGCCAGCACATTGAAAAAAAAACAATAAAAGGTTCACCTTTCTGCTAGAATAAGACCATCGAAAACAAGAAAATTTCATTGATTTCCTATGAATTTTCATGCACTAAGTGTATTTCAAAACTTCCAGAAGAATTCATGAGACTTCAAAGGACTTCAAGAGACCTCAAAAGACTTCATAAGACTTTATGAAACTTCAGAGACTTCAAGAGACCTTATGAGAATTCATAAGACTTCCGAAGGACTTTCAAGACTTCATGAGACTTCACGGTTGAAGTCTCTGCTGTTTCCCCCTTGAAATACATCAAGTATTTTGGAATTGTACGATTGCAAGATGATTACGCCCTCCTAAATTCTTGTTGTGCTTTGCATTTCTTCTCGAAAATTCTCTGTAAAATTTTTTAAAGAAAATCACGTATTTTCTCTCAAAAAGAAACTGAATCAGGTCATATTTCGAAGAGTAATATATTAAAAAGACAGATGATAAGACAAACATACGAAGAATGGTTTGATCGTCAATATATCTAAAATTCATTGAATAGATACTGCAGAATATCATATGCAAAATCAAGCTAAATATCTGGATAGCAACTTCAAGTATCCTTAATACTTCCTCGGATAGTCAATCGTGAAAAAACACAAAGTTCTCCGAATGTTTTTTTCATCTGTAGAATTTCATACAGCTCGTTACGCTGATCACTTTGGTTAAAAGAGAAGTATCGAAATTTACTCAATAGATCATGATGTTAGGTCGAAAATACTCCAAATCTTCGACTATTCCTAATTGCTGCTGAGCATTAGTTAATATTTTTTGAATATGTTGACTCTAGCAACATACATTTGAAGACTCTTTTTTTTCTAAAAGGATCATTGCAACGAACTCTACAGACAGAAAAAAAATCTTCCGAAACACTTGTGTTATTTTGCGGTTGACTATCCATGGAAGTATTCATTGAAAAATACGATTCGCAAGCATTTTATCATTAGTAGTTATCTTAAAATACATAAGTTTCCATGACATATTGATGTAGTGTAATTTTTTCGGATATGATACTTAGAACACTTTCATAGGACAGTATAGGCAGCGCATGGTAAATTTTTAGATGAAGAAATAAAGTTTTATATGGGTCCGTTTTGTTCGTCTTTCCGAATAGTGGAAGATTTGAGTGAAGAAAAGAAAAGGTTACGAATGAATAGTTAATGTTAATAGACTGTACTATTTTTCTTTATCCATAAACCAAGACTAGGAAAAAAAAAGATCTATTACAATTTAAGAAGATAAACTTTTTCTTGTTTTGATGTTTCTCGAAAACTAAAACTTACTTTGTATTTGTTAATCGTTTATGATTATAAAACCATTCACATCACCATGATTACGAATTCTTTTTCGTATATGTGCAGATGGTAAATCTTCTTTTCCTATATCTGTATAACCAAAACGTTGTTTATCAGCATAATGTTTTGTTTGTAATTGTTACCAATGATATGCTTTTTCTTGTAAATGATTTTCATCTATTGTAATCCATTGAAATAGGTGAATTTTGTTGATCGGAAGTTGTTGCTTTTTGCATTATTACTAGATGTACAACTCATACAACTACAGGTCAAAATAAGAATAAATTTTGTTAGTACACTAATATTGGAGACGTGGAAGACTGATTCATTGCTTCATACCAACAGATACATAAAGAATAGAGAAAAAAAATAATTTGTTTAATATTCAACCATTTTTTTTTCTTTATCATTAATTTCCTCTACAAGAAAAAAATAAGAGACGTTTGAATTTTCTTTGTCGACATCTATCATTCATATTTTTAACAAATTATATTTTAATTTTTTTAAAAGAATTATTTTTTGCTTTTAATTTAATAATTTTTTTTTTTCATTAAAATCGAATTCTTTTTTCAAAATTCTAATTGGTTAAGTAGTTTTACGTCTATGTACATATAATAGTGTAATATAAGAATAGGAATTCTTCTGAAAACTTATTCATCTGTAACGTTTCATCTTCTTTGATTCATTTTTTCCCTTAGTTGATCGATCCACACGTTTCATATTGTGATTTTAACGAAGAAAACATATTTTCTGTATATTTCTATATATATAAATATATTATATATGTGCTGGTTGATTGAATACTATTCGTTTATTCGTCATCATCTTTTTACCTATTAATATTATTTTATTTAAAACATTAAGATCAATATTAAAGAGAAAATGCATCAATATTCAAGTGTTGATGTTATATCTTTGGATGATCAACAAGTTAAAAATGAAAAAATACAAATAAATGTTTTATTAATAACAGAAAATAATGAACAAAAAAAATATGCTATATTAGTTAAAAATGGTGAGATATTACGAATTTTATTTTTGAATAAAGCAAAAGATGTTTGTATTAATTTTAGGTACATCGACTATATTAACAATTACTTTAGATGATTTATTTGAAACTATTCGTTGTGGTTTAACCGGTATTATTATTAGTCTACCAAAACAAAAATATCGTTCATATTTATTTAAGTTTCCTAATCAAGAAGGTAAATTAAGTTTTCAAAATTTTTTATATATCAATATATGAGAAAAACACCAACAAAATATTGTACATGACATTTATTAAATCTCGATCAATATAATTAAAATTGACACTAGTGTTTTTTTTAGTAATAACGGAAATTTAATCAGTTCTGTTTATTCGTATTTTATATATGATTTACTTATCTTTCTAATATATAAACCTTAAGACACAACGATATATGAAAAAGAATCAAAGAAAATGTACAGAAAGATTTCATATGAAGAAAGAGAATATTGACTTTAATAGAAAATTCTCGATACAATAATATGAAACTTTCTCAGTATGTAATCAACAATCGATTAGGAATTTTACATAACATTTTGATTTTAGAATATATATATATATATATATATATATTTTTAATGTTTACATATTAGATGCAATCAGTTTTAATAAACTTCTTTTGTCAATTAAATCGGGTAAAAGTATTGACGACAGTATCTCATGTCAATTCGATGAACGTACAGAAGAATCATCAGCAGTACAATATTTTCAAGTATCTATTAAAATATTAATCTTTCATTATAAATATATATCTGTATGTTTAATTAGTTTTATGGTTATTTATCACAACAACAAAATATGATGCAAGATTA